CTGGATTGTATCACGAAGTAGCTTAGTGATTCCATTACTTCATCTGTAAAACAGAGAGCGTAACAGGTCCTATCCCATAAAGACGTCTGAAGGATAAAGTGAGATTGACTATTTAAAGCATCCGCTGATGCCTGGGGCACAGAGTAAATACTCCAATCACAGTAGCAATGATGACGATGCGTTCTAGAACGCACAGGTGAAACACACACACACACACACACACACACACATACACACACTCCAAAAGGTTGCTTCAAGTTGTGGTGTCAACAGCAATGCATTTCTTCCCATTATCAGTAAACAAGTTTTTAAAACCTCTTTCTTTATCCCACAACAATCTGAAAAAGACAAAATTAAAAGTGAAAAATGCTGTCCCTGTACCAATTGTTTTGTCTACAGGACAGGCTAATCAACTGTGTGGCAGTTTCACTTTTTGAGGTAGGAGCTACAAGCCCATAGGGCAAGAGCTTCTAGATTGTTCCAGAGATGGCCATTTTATTGGACCTTTATGATTCTGAAATTACATTAAATATGTGCCAATTTTGCATGCAAGAAATAGTCTTAGCTAAGAATAATGAGCATGAAATAAAGGTTCAGCGCATTAAAGCCATTTCTATTCAACAATAATTAGCATGTTTAAATACAATATAATTTTTACCCATCTACAAAATGCTTAAATGTTTGGAATCTCGTTTATGTCTATAATGACAGATTCATTTTTGAGGTAGTCATTTTCAATCTTGATTTGTATATTTTAAAGTTGTTAAACGCTTGACTGAATCATTAGCAAAACAATTCATGTATCATTAAACTGATTTCTAACATGAGACAATTTTCTTTCTTGTCCAATAGACGTGCCTTTTTCAGATTTACCGAGATAGCTTTTATCCTTTGGAGGGCTTGGCGGGGCTGCGGAGGAGACCTCAGCACTGGCTAATTTCACGGCCTCCGGTCTAGCCTCCCCATCCATACACTCCCTTAAGAGCCTCAACCCCCGCCACGGTTTGCTGAACGAACGCTCACGCACTCTGGAGAATGCATATTGTACTAGCAAAGAAAACAGACCGCAGACCGGCTCCTTTTTCATGGAAGCCAAACAGAGAGGGGGGAGACAAATGGACGCAGGTAGAGAACCACAAACCCTGGCAACCTGTAGGCCGGGGTCTGAACAGGACCCTGCCCCGCCGCCCCCACGGTGCTGCCACCCCTTGGCGCGCGCTCTCTCCCTCCCACATCTTCCCACGTAGGAGCAGGTCTGTACCATGCTCCCGAAGGACTGCGGCCGGAGAGGCCTCGGAAGACCTGTGCGCGCACGGCTGGCAGTGGCTGGCGGGCTGTTGCCGCGCACGGGCCGGGCCGGCTGGACGTGAAAACAGTTCACTTTTGTCTGCAGAGCGGAGCAGGGTCTCCCCCTCCCCCGCAGGGTCGAGGAGGGCTGGGGAAGAGAGGGGCCGCTGGGGCAGGCCCCCGGGGCCGCCTTCGCGGGAGGAGGAGAAGCCTGGCCTGCACATGGCCCCTTCCCAGCCTTGACAGCCCACACAGACCTTTGAACTTTCTATTTATATAACGGTTTAGTGAGTTTAAGTCTCTTCCTGTGTAACTGCCCGTGTGCGAGATGGCCTCTAATTAGGCTACTTGTGAGACATCACTTAAAAACTACAAACCACTGCTGCCGGCCTTGGGTCACAAGTGCCTCACCACAATCTTCACTAGACTTTTTCACACTTTGATTTTGGTAGCCTGGTGGCTTTCTTTCCATTTTTTATGTTTAAGGATGCACCCCTGTCTCTATCTGTCGGCCCTTCTCTCCTTCCCTCTTTTTTTAATAATGAAAAGATAAACATCGCCACAGAGGACCTTGGCCTGTCACAAAGCCATACCTAATCAATACGGGGGGTGCTCACAGGACTGAAAGGCGGGACACTTTGTAGCCCCTCCGATTTTGCTTTTATCCCCTCTTAAATGGGGATTAATGACATCCCCACGGCTGGTAAACAAGGCCAAATCTCGCCACAAGATCTCCAGACACCTCAAGAATTCATTTACTGAGTTACCAGAGGCAAGTCGATAGAATGGCTCAGGCTGTAAAATTTCATTTTTTCTTCCTTTCTTTTTTCTTTTACTTGAGAGCAATGGTGTGTTTGGTGCACACAGACAGACACCTGCACCTTCCTCTTCTTTCACAGAATGGTTCATATGAAATTCAGACTCAGGTGAACACTGCCCATTCATCCAAGAATCTTAAAGAACTTAATGCTTTGGCCCTTTTGTCGAGTCCAGAGCACCACCCATTAAGATACGCGGGCAGTTTGTGAAATCCAGGGATATGTTCCTTTAGGCACTCAGCACTCCCAGACCCAGCACATCGTCTTTCCTGCCCCATCCTTCCCATTTGCATTCATTCTGACAAATGTGTTTGTAAATGGGCATGTACTTTTTGTTTACTGTAGTCAAGTGTTTGCAAATAACACATATGCCTGTGTATGTAAAGTCTTCCTTCATTAAGTCTAGGTAAATGAGTTTGTTTTGTAGCTGGCCTGATCCATTTGTTGTCAGACATCTAGGGTTGCACTAGAGGCAGCTCAGAGTTTTCAGTTCTACAAGTGAAGGTTGAGAAAAGATACTATGTAAATGAGACCCTTAACTTGGCCCAAGCCTTTTTCCTTGGACCTCCTGGGGGGAGGGGGAAGAATGGATGCCAGCACTCTAAGCAGCTACTTACTCCCCAGGAAAGGAAGTAAACAGGTCATGAACATATAATTGGTGTTCCCTACGTGTCTGCAGAGTTTGGAAAAGTACAGATTTCCATTCAAGGCAGTATGAAGCTTTTTTAGTTCATCCGCTATTGTCACGTTTATGTTCCTTTTTTTGGGGGGGGGGGGTTCAAGACAGATGCACAACCCACATTACAAATGTTTACAAACAGATTCATAAGGAAGTTTGCCCCTCGCAATTAAACAGTAAGAAGGAGAAATTTTCCTGGCACATGGGCACAGAGGGAAAAGGCCAGCTTATTTATGCAGATATGTTACACTAATTCATCCGTATTTCACATAATATCCACAGAGTGTCCAAGTCTGCATGTGGCATAGTTACAAAACTGGAGGAAAAAGGTTTTGCCTTTTCTTTAAAAAAAGAAATGATAGTCCCCAAAGGGGGGGGGGGGGGCGTGTCTTTCTGAAAAAAGAAATCAAAAGAGCCCATCCCCTTTAAATATGCAACTGCATGTGTCTAAGATTAAACTGAAATTAAAACAATATAAGAAACACATTTTTTTAAAACCTAATACCTTGGATATGTTTAACATTTGAACTACACCCACGAAATCAATTACAACAACGTCTGTTAAATTAATGATGTTACCCACACCATATATTAGGCAAATTGTATGCAAATGGTAATGCTGTGGTTATCAGTTGTCTGCAAAATAAATTAGTGAAGCAGAGTAAAGGCTGTGTGCAGGAGCATAATATTTAATTGAGGAGTAATTTTATTGTGATCTTTACTTTTAAATAACAGCACGGTTATTAAAAACCGTAACAGAATGTTTTTCTGCAGGGTTGATAAAACCGTGCATAGTATCAAAAATGCCTTACCGATTAATACTGATACAGTGTAATTTGTGGCTGCAAGGATTTACCCGGAATTGCTGTAAAAGAAAATGTATTTAAGTTTTGATTATCTTGGATTTGCAACTAAAGGGCTCACGATTGGCATAATGAAGCTATTGGCTAAGAGTATGACCCTTTTCTAAAGAAGGAAATTGCCTAAAATATCACATCAGCAAGGGAAATCCTTGTAAAAATACACAGCATTCATAGCCAACGGCTGCTAGCAGTTTAACATCGCAGAAGATTTCGCACCACCGGTCTGTATTGTAGATTATCCTAACTACATTTAAAAAGGCAATAACCAAGATGCAATTGTAAATCGCTGCCGCAGACTCCTCACCCCTTCTGAAGCCACAGGCTGGGGGGGGGGGGGGGGGGGCGGCAATTGGTATGTTAAAATGTTGTGACGGATTAACAATAATAATGCCTGTGGCAGAAGGTGGAGTTTTTTAAAAAGTTAATAGATATGTATATCACTATTTATGCACGCGCGCGCGCACGGCACGCGGTGAGTAACAACTTTCCGGCTCCCCAGTCACCTTTGCACCATCTTTCAAAACGCTCTCAGCGACAAGTTTACGGTATTTGGGGAAGAGCCGACTAACCCTCTGAATCCGAGCTGGGTGCCCATCACACAGACCTGCGGCTGCCTCCCAGTGGGGGCGGACAGGGGTCCGGCCGGTAATTAAATGTGCACAGACGTCGGAGCAGCAGACTTCGGGGGACTAACTTCAAAATCCCTGCCTTGAGAGCCAACGCCGAAGTCGGCCCGGACCCGGGGTCCCCCGCTCGGCGGCCCGCGAGGCCAGCAGGCACCCGCGTGCGGGGAACTTGTGCTGCGCGAGCGGCGGGGGAAGGTGTGCGCGCCGCGCGGGGACCGAGGTGGCGGCGGCGGCGGCGGCGGGGGAGGCGGTCGCGGACACGGAGGAGGGCGGCCGACGGCACCTTGCCGCTGCCGGTCCCCGCGGCCGGCCGCCGGCGCTCGACACCTAGAAAGTTGAAGCCTTTCGGCCGGGCGGGATCCGGTGCGCCGGGAGACGGGCCGGGCCGGTGGGTGCGCAGGGAAGATCCCCGCGGGGGTCGTGCGGCTCGGCCCGCGGGCGGCGCGGGCTCCCATCCGGGCCACAGGCAACTCTTCGGACTTGGAGCGCCACACAACGCCTTCGGGGCCCGCATCCCACCCGCGGCCGCCACCTCCCCTCGCCCCCACCACCACCCGGGCACCCGCGCGAGAGGAGTCGCGGCGGCGGGGCCAGAGGTGGCTGGGAGCAAGTGGGAGGGCGTCTGGGGCGCCCCCACCACAGCCCCGGCTCCTCTTAACAAAGGCGAAAAGCCCGGCCCCGGCCGGGGGACCCGCGTCGCAAGGAGAAGGCAGAGATCAACACCTACCACTGCTGCTCCAAGTCCCAGTCCCTGAAAAAGTCGAATAGATCCATAGCGGCCGGGCGGCGGCGGCGGGCGGGCGTCCGTCCCTGCTCGCGGCGGGTCGGCGCGGCTCTCGGCGCGGCTCGCTCGCTGCTCTCGGCGGCCCGGCTCTCCGGCCCT